TGTTGTTCATCTCATCAATACAAATCCGTGCTTAGAATATTGTCATCGCGTGTTTTCAGCACCAAATTAACAATTAAAACTTCATTTGGAATATTGAGTCACAGCTTCTTTTTATTCATATCAGAAATTTTGTATTGGGATATTAATATTATTTGTTCAAAGTGAAAAAATAATCAGAAATGTGAGATAGTCTCATAATTCTCGCTATTAATTTTAATCAACTTTGTTCGAAGAAAACCTTCGTAAACGCAATATTAAGAACGTAGAATTATTCTATTGTCCTCTGATCTAAATGATTCTGACAATTATGATTCGTTTATTCATGTTTCATAGAAGAGTACTCATTTCTCTTTTGTTTGTTAGGCGAGCTTCATGAAAATTCGACGGAAGACGATTGTACTCATGAAAACGAGAGATTGCCTATGCTTTTTTTAGAAAGCAAATGACCAGTATTCCTGCTCCCAGTCACTGAACCCACCCCTACACCCCCGCAAAGCCTTCTTAGCAACTGCATAGGTCTTTATTACATTTCCCCCCCAAACAGCGAAATTTGTTTTGATAATTCCCGCAAAGAAACATAATAGCGACACAAAATAGCAGTTAAGATACCCATGAACCGCGCTAAAAAATAAATTTAATGAGGCCATAACGACGAAATTACGATAGATGCCGTGGGGTTTCTTTCGCAAGCTCTTAATTGCATTTGCGACTCTGTAAAGCCGAAACCATGGTGACATTACTCTCTCCCCGCATGGTCTGGCCCACGCTGAAAGTACTTTTACTGGGTACTCCGATAATTATGTTATAAGCGTCGCATGTTATGAACTGGTATCTCCGTTCCCACGTTGATTCAATTATCAATCGATTTCCCGACCTTTTCGTCATCCGCGCAATAATGAATACTGAGAGAAAAATATAATTCTTCTGACTATATTCCATCACCATCGAATTATAGTCAAAAAGTCCTCAACAATTTTTCATGGGTTACGGTAACTATGGCCGGAGAAGTAATTACTACAATGGAATGTAGTCATTGCCACTATTTTATAGTTCTCCTCACGATAGATTTGTCATGGTTACTTTTGAACTTTGGTTAGTTTAACTGCATTTTGATTTGCAAAAATTACGCTTGTGAAGTTACTATGATGTTATGTGCCGCATACAAAAAAAATCGTATCGTTCACCAAAATGCCTCAACTATTTTCTTATTGTAAATCGAACTTCAGATTTTTCTCTCAGTGAAGGGAGATATATTTTTACAGCACAATGAGACGGCATATATAACTAACAAGCTGCTCTCCAGACGATTAATTACATGAGAATAAAAAGGGTGAGACCCTTGAACCGAGTGTTCTCGGAACCTCGAGGAAGCAGACGCTATTAGAGAAGCGTAACAGTGTGCAAACCAGAAAGGCGAGACGCTACGCCAGCCGGTGGCCTATAAATCTCCACGAATAACCCAATATCAAGATGTAACTTCGAGTTTAGAGGGGTATAATTTATCTAGTGATTCAGAATACGAGCTAAAAGTAGTTCCTCCGTTTCGCATGATAACGCCTCCGAAAACGGAAGCAAAGCTTCTCTCATGTTGAGGAGAAGGATCGTTAAAGGGTATGAATTTTCGGTTGCGGGTGATCACAAAATTAGACTCTATTCTATCATTTCCGGAGATTCAAGCTCAACGGGAAACTTTACGCGTTTTCCTTCATTCATGTACTTAAATTTTCATACCAGCAGCCAGCTTCATTTCCATCTTGAGTAGTCTCAACCTTTTTTTTGGTCTTCACTGCTAGACGAGGAAGCGGCCACTTCAGTTCCGGGTTTGAATTTATTATGAATCTCTACGTCAGGGGCGATTCATAACATATTATGTCATCAAATTCACATTCTGTGAATAGTATTCGTTAGGATATGACTGATAATGGTCTTCTTTGCATTTTGTTTTTTGCTTGATGATGGCTTAGTGTGTGGATGTCCCTTCGGCAGAGTTCGAAGATAAAGGCGGCAGCAATAATCTTTGTTTTGATTTATAGAATAATTTGAAAAAATTTCCGGGGATATCTTTGGATATCATGTTTCAAATGAATTCAATTACAACTTGAAATGTCAGTTTCAAGTCTCAAGTTGAGACTTTCAGAATTCCCTGGAAGAAAAATTTCAATTTGAGTTCCGACAGTCTTAATTTGAAGCCTTTAAGAGTATCAACTTGAGTCTAGAATAAGTCGCAGAGATATTATTCATTCTAAAACTACTTAGAAATAACATTCATCGGCCCCGATTGTTGGAGCTTATTCCATTGAGAATCTGCAAATTAAACTCGAGATTACAAAATATTTTCAATTTCCCTTACAAAAGATCATAAACAGAGTGTCTCTAATTATCCCATAGATATTGTCACATCTTCATTGGCGACAATAGCTCAAAAATCACGTGAATATGTCAACTTATTCAGGTCTAACCGCGATCAATTTGAATTAAGAATGTAGCAACTTGGAAAACACCTCGCATTCGTCATCTTCACTATGTATTGAATAACTTAACATAACTGTGTAAATATGTATATAAATGTAAATTAATTGGACCTTCTAATTCACCTCGGCTGTAGTGTCCATAACATAATAACTAACATAAAATTAAGTCTCAAAATGAAACCTTTGAAAATCTTATTTTAAGACATTTGAAATTAAAAAATAAGGTATTATTCTGTTGAGTGTATGAATCCTCATGACTATCCCATCTGTACTTGATTTTGGGTTAGGTCCACCTCAGTCAAATGTCAACTCATAAAGTAAAAGAATCCTAACGTCACTTCCCCAGTCAAAGAAGATCTCCATAGGTTAATCTTCATGGTTCAACAAGCATCATCAATTCACCATCAAGCCATTTCATTCCCTATAGATGGGTCTAATGGCGAACGCATCCACGATACCAGTTACAAAACCAATTTTGTGATAATAAATAAAGTTGGAACGACAGGGCTTCCACTCTAGCTCAGGAAAGGGCTCGAGCACGGGAGCGGATGCCCCTTCCAACCTGGCCGGAAACTCGTAGTTATCAAGACCACCATTCAGGCGTTACCTTTCGTTATATAGCGTACCGGGGCAGTATCTATTCGGTGGAAATTGCTGGGCATAGACTGAGCCGACTGTCGAGCTTCCTAATGGATCGTTCGGTACATTTTCCCTGGAAACACTAATGCTTTTTGCTCTTCCCACTCCCATCTTTTTCAGGATCCTCTTACGAATCCTTTCAAGTAATCCTCATTCGGGCTTGATCTCTCCCGAAAGCTTGATAGTCATCAATAAATCTGTCGCTACATTCTTTAAGAGCTATTTTTCTTTAAGAGCTTGAGTTCTTTCAGTGATATTTTTCTGGTAATACTTGGCCTCCGTTGCGTCATACACATTTTCATTGATACGCTTGACTTCACATACCGCATACGTCATGTCCCCACGTTGAACTTTCCCTCCATGACGCTCACAAGTCAGATCTATAAGAAATAGAAAAACTGAGATTTTATACGCTTTCTGTTTTTGATTTGTTCCCGGAAGACTTCAGTACCAGATGGCATCCAAGAACAGTCACAGGGGAGGATGACAACTCAAAAAAGATGAAAAATACTGAAATCACCGGCGTCTCCACATATACGGAATGTTCTCGTCGAAACTTTTGCGAAGAAGATTGCACATCTCTGGAAACTAAAAACTCGGAAAGAACCCTCCGATGTTGGACTAACTCCGTCAAATCAATCAGAGGGATTATTAATAACTCCGGCGGAATAGGATTGCGAGAGGATAATTTGATCGTTCTTTTTGGATTTCTAGGGAAGGAAATGTCCATCTGCATTCGGCATCGATCTTTCCAATTTCCACTTTGAAAGCGCAGCAGGGTAGATTCCCGAGGAGCTTATGAATCATTATCGCGATTCATTGGCTAAATCGGGCAGTTCAATTGATTTCGCAGTAGTTCCACTAAGCAGCTTAGAGCAATTGTACAATCAGTTGGAGATAGATTTTATTATAATATGAATCATCGGAAATGCTTGCGTAGACAGCATAAATTTTCAGAGGATTATATCGAATCGTGGTTCATGAACCGGGAATAGGTGAATTTTCCCTGCATTAATCTATTGTTTCGTCAGGAATACATAGATTTAAGGGGTAAAAGTTTTCGAAGTTTTATGGGAGTTTCGGTGTGAACCTCGTACTTTTTGTAGAAAATCTGTTCGAGAATGTTTTGGAGTAAAACCTGTTTCTAAATTTTTGAAGCTTTGTTTTCGAAAGGTATTTGGTTGGACGGCGTTCACGGGAATGGATCAAAACAAGGTTCATCAAGAAGAAACAGCCATTATTGACCGATAGAATAGAATGTATTCGAGATATTCGATGTCAAGTGAACCAACCGTCGACTCTTCCCCTTTCAAAATTAAGGAAAATTTATTCAACGATGTTGCGGCATAATTAACTACTTCCCGATTTTTTGGGTAACCGATGAGTCATTATTTTGATCATTTTTTGTAGTCTTTCTAGTCCAGCTTGCGTTTTTTATAACGAATTCCAATTTTAATTAGATTTTTCTTAAAGAAATTCACACGTATTAACAATTATACTAAATGCGAAGAAAGGTTGAAAACTGTAAGACAGCTATAACAACCCGATTATGTAATAGAATTTCCAGTCCTCTGCTGATAATTGTCAATGATCGGAGTATTTTATGGGCTACACACAGTATTCCGTGCTTTTGTATGGATTTTTCGGAGCTGCGGAGATGGTAGATGCAGCAGTAGGTGCCTAAACTGCGTTGGTGGCATGTGCAGCAGCAGCTTCCGGAGCTGTGTCGGAGGTAGATGCAGCAGTAGGTTCTGGAACTGCGGTAGTGATAGGTGCTGCAATAGCTTCCGAAGGTGCGGTGGTAGGTGCTGCAGTAGGTTCCGGTGCTACGGCAATTGCAGTTGCAGCAGTAGCTTCCGCAGGTGCGGTGGTGGTAGGTGCTGCAGTAGGTTATGGTGCTACGGAAATTACACCTGCAGGGGTAGTAGGTGCTACAGTAGGTTCAGGTACTGCGATAATTGCAGGTGCAGCAGTAGCTTTCGGAGCTGCCGTGGTGGTAGATGCAACAGTAGCTTCCGGAGCTGCGATAGTGGTAGGTGCGGCAGTAGCTTCCGGAGCTGCGGTGGTGGTAGCGGCAGCAGTAGGTTCCGGAACTGCGATGGTAGTCGGTGCAGGAGTAAGTTGCGGAACTTCGGTGGTGGTAGGTGCAGCAGTAGGTTCCGGAGCTGCAGTGGTGGTAGGTGCAACAGTAGGGTCCAGAACTGAGGTAGTGGTAGGTGCAGCAGTAAGTTCCGGATCTGGGGTGGTGGTAGGTGCAGCAGTAGGTTCTAAAGCTGCGGTGGTGGTAGTTGCAGCAGTAGGTTCCGAAACACCGGTGGTGGTAGCTGCAGCAGTCGGTTCCGGAACTGCGGTGGTGGTAGGTGCAGTAGTAGGTTCCGGAGCTGCGGTGGTTGTAGGTACAACAGTAGGTGCCGGAGCTGCGGTGGAAGCAGGTGCAGTAGTAGGTTCGTCAGCAATAGTGGTTGTAGGTTCGGTAGGAGTCGGTTGGGCAGTTGTCGAAGATCCTATAGGCAGAGTAGCAATGCATCGTCGAGCGATAAGGTTGTAAGAATTCAGTGCCTTCTTGAACGCATTCAACGATCGACTGCTGCAGCGCTCAATTTTCTTCTTGGCCACAGAACTTTCCCGGTATTCAGTTCTCCCTAGTCTTTCTACGTAGCTTCTCCATGATTTAACGTATATTTCAAGTGATTCTACGCGCGTACTAATACATAACCATGGCCATGTCTTGTTCTCACATTCTTTTTGAATAGCTACCAGTTGTGCTTGAAATTTCTCTCCTTCCTGTAGATACCATGGTAATATCATCATTTTTTTGCATTCATGAAATTTTTCCCAATCAAATAATTTACTCACCTTTGCCAAATCGTCAAGTTTAGCGCTCATGTCTGCATAATTGAGCATATTTTGATTGAAGCATGACTCTATTGCATGAATGCATTTTATTCGACCCTGCTCTTTTTTTTCGTTCAATGGTTTCACGCAGCTGTCTACATCTTTCCCCTTTCTTTCAGCAGACGCAATAATAGGCTTGAGATATCAGGGGAAGAATAAAAGAATTATTATGTAGGGGAAACCGTGGCAAAGCGAGGTAGCTAAGACAAAGAGGCGGGTGTCAGAGCTTCTATCATACTTATATTGCTTTTTAGCAATGACTATTCATATTCTAAAATTATGAACTCGCGTCTCCAACGTATTACAGTTGGGGCTCCAATGGGGTAGTATCCAAGAACTTTAAAATAATTATGAATGATGTTTCTTCGGTTTTCACCTTCGAATATCCAAAAAAGACAGAAAAACTCTGAAATCGATAGGGAAGGTCCCGACTAATCGATTTTTCAATTTGGGGCGCGATAGGATACGCATAAGAGAATTCTTTTTCTTCAATTTCATGTCCATCAACAGAAGAGTCCATTGTAACGATTTTCTATACATTTTTTAAAGTTTTCATCATTCGTCAAACTAATTTTGTTTTTCAAATATCACGATAACGAGCAGCCCCACTTGTCACCGAGATAATTGGAGGAACAGATGACATTATAGATTTTTTCCTAAAAAGCCATTTTGTTTCCTTAATTTCATTTTTTTTCTAGAAATTAAAATTTCCGAATTCATTTATTTATTAGATTTGTCTTATTTATCTCAAATTCACGAAATGAAATCTTGATACTTCTAATTGATTATTTTTATTCTCTTGCTTCAGTAGCAAAGTGACGTTTATATCAGTAAACAGAGAGTATGCGCAGCAAGTGGGATTCCATTCTTCTCATTTTTTATTTTTTCCGTCGTTATCGACCGTCGGGGGATGGGTTTAGCAAATTTATTAATCAATATAATTTACGTTGCAAAACTTACTGCAAATCGTTGACGACTAGCGTCAGTCAAGTCGCCTATTCTTTTAATTCTGTCTTCGTGAGCTTCTATGAAAGTACGGTTGATATCTGCAAGACTGCTTCGGTAGCTTGAGACAGAATTTCGAGTTCCGGTGATGAGGCTATCTATCCAATCTGCATCAGCCTTCCATTTAGATTGATTATTGAAACAACGACAATGAAAAAGCACATGACAATGAAAATTTGTGACCAAAATAAATGAAAAATACACTTACACGGCTCATGCAGACAACTGCGAAGGCAGCAAGAAGTGCGTAGAATCCCATTTCTGGGTTGATAATGATATTTTCAATGATTTTTCGGCATTTTTATATGCAAATTATCATCCCCTCTGTGCTTCGCATAAGGCACAAACTCGAGGCGTGTGGCGTATATGGCGTACTACCATAAAAACACTTCTAGGAGTGCAAGCACACCAATAACCAATATTGATATTGAACAATTGTCACCTTGGACTTTTTTATCACAAACCTTGAAATTGAATATGATATTTATTTTCGCTTGATATTCACCAGCTGTCAAATCCTCAAAGGGTTCATCTCCTTTTAATTCACAAATAATTTTTATCCAATTTTCATTTTATTTCATCTGTGCGTCGCAGCATACTATCTAATTCGTAGCTAGAGTTTCCAATGATGTGTGCTTCGGTCTGATTAACCAGAAAAAAAGGCTTGGTGAATCGAAAAACATTGATAGTTCGGTCTTTCGAAATTTGATGAAGATAAAGAGGAAGTAAACAAGAAGCAGCGAAGTGGAAATGATGACAATTCTTCAAGGATATTGGGAACAGATAGTGACTATTTTCCTTACTGAAAGAGTCACAACATATGATACTCTGGCACCTCAGAATTTTATATTTGAGTATTGACGATATTTACTCACGGAAAAACCTAAACATAAATTACGTTTTGCTAAGCGTAATTTATGGTTTGCTAAACTTAATTTATGCTCACTATCAATATGATGTCTGGTGGTTTTTTTCCTGCATGAAAATTGCAATTTAGGCTTCGTAAAGGCGTATTTTAGGGTCAAAATAATAATGTAAATTACGCCCAGTATACTAGCAATTGACTGATTTGTCAGTAACAAAATATTGGAATATTTCAAGTCAATTCGTTGTTTTCAAAAATTCCAAAATGTTTTACTTCAAATTTCTGGAGTAATTTTCTCATTGTTTTGACACGTGATGGAATCGTGGTCTCTTCAAATGGTAGTACATTAATTCTATTAGTTCTTGGATCCGATGAACAAGAAGGAAGAATAACGCATAAATTTACAAATATTGACACTGTCATTATCATTTGTGATCGATAGGTAAGCAAGGTCGTTCGTTTGAAATTTCATCAAGATAATGACGACGGAAATAAAAAAAGCACTGAATTAGAAACAATGTAAATTTGTCGAAGCTGTTAGAATGAAGCAATCTCAATTTGTTTCAATGGAAGAGCGGCGAAATATAGTGCTTTAGTAGGTTGATAGAAAAAATAAGTTCTACTAACTCCGTCAAATCAATCAGAGGGATTATCAATAACTCCGGCGGAATAGGATTGCGAGAGGATAATTTGATCGTTCTTTTTGGATTTCTAGGGATGGAAATGTCCATCTGCATTCGGCATCGATCTTTTAGATTTCTACTTTGAAAGCGCAGCAGTGTAGATTCCCGAGAAGATTATAAATCATTATCGCGATTCATTGGCTAAACGGGGAAGTTCAATTGATTTCGCAGTAGTTCCACTAAGCAGCTTAGAGCAATTGTACAATCAGTTGGAGATAGATTTTATTATAATATGAATCATCGGAAATGCTTACGTAGACAGCATAAATTTTCAGAGGATTATATCGAATAGTGGTTCATGAACCAGCGATAGGTGAATTTTTGCCGCATTAATCTATTATTTCGTCAGGAATACGAATATTGAAGGGATAAAAGTTTCCGAAGTTTTTGGGAGTTTCGGTTGAACCTCATTCTTTTTGTAGAAAAACTGGTCGAGAATGTTTGGGAGTAAAACCTGTTTCTAAATTTTCGAAGCTTTGTTTTCGAAAAATATTTGGTCGGGCGGCGTTCACGGGAATGGATCAAAACGAGGTTCATCAAGAAGGAACAGCCATTATTGATCGAACTCTTTTCAATAGAATGTAGTCGAGATATTCGAGATATTCGATGTCAAGTGGACCAACCGTTGACTCTTCCGCTTTGGAAATTAAGGAAGATTTATTCAACGATGGTGCGGCATAATTAATAATGGGTTTTCAGGTGGGAAGAATAAATAAGTCGTAAACACTTTTATTATTCACACAAGGAAAAGGTTTTATTGTATTGTAAAAGTTCCACACTCAATGAAGTCTGTCGAACAAGTGAGGACGTGAGGAGCCAAGCTTCCAACTGCGCAGGCGCAACAGTTTGTGGCGCTGTACCGAACTAAAAGTATAATGGTCGGTAAAGAAGAACAGGACAGACGACTTATTATCTGACACTCCCTCCGTCTGGCCTCAGTTCTCTCGAGTAACATTATATTTACTTTGTTGACAGTCTTCCATAGCCACAGCCTTCTCGTCATTCTCCTCAATTTTTCTCCTTTTATTTTCTTCGTAAATTAAGCAAAAGAAATGATCATTAATTTACATATTATTATTCATAATTCGGTCGGTTAAGTCTTTGTGCAAGCTGAATGCCAGCGGTTTGATAAATATATCGGCAATTTGATCTTTTGATCTGACCTATCAGACTATTATAAGCCCTAGTTTAACGCACTCTTTTATGTGATGAGCCTTGACCTCGATGACATGTCTCAATCTATTCCCTCCGCTCGTCTCTGAATTAATTGTTGCCGCCTTATTGTCACACCATAGTGACATGGGGAAAGGAGGATTAATCAAGATTAATTTCAAAGAGTTATAGATTGATAACATCTACTGGCTTGCTTCACTCATTGCAACATATTCAGCTTGACAAGTGGATAATGCCACGTAGGACTGTTTGTGTGTTCTCCACATTATCGCATCTCCGAATAGTTTTATTACAAAACCACACGTGGTCAATGAATCTTTACAGTCCGTAACACTCGCATCTGAGTAACCCTGAATATCATCTGCCGCACTGGTGTACGTCAAACTTAATGAGGTAGTACCTCTCAGATATCTCAGAACTCTTTTCACCATGATCCAATCATCCTCTGTTGGATTCACTTGATGTCTACTCAAGACATTGACTGCGTATGAGATATCTGGTCTCGTAGCACCAGCCAGGTATAAGAGACTGCCTACAGCTTCTCGATATGGAATGTTCTCTTTTGTCTCGGTTGATTTAAAATTACTCTCATCAACGTCAGTCTCTCTCATTTTACGTTTGTGATAGGGGACTTGATTATTCTCCATAGGAGTTCTCTGAGGATTTGAATTTTCGAAACCAAATCTAATGAGTATCTTCTGAATGTATTTTTCTTGACTCAACTTAATTATTCGATTTTCTCTATCTCGTTCAATTGAAATGCTCAGAAACTCTTTAGGCTGTCCTAAGATCTTCATTTCAAACTCGGAGCTCAACTTGGACTTGACTTTGTTCATTTTCGCCACATCATTGCTCGCTACCAAGATGTCATAGACGTAAAGAAGCAAGATCAGGAATCTCTCTTCTTCTCGCCAAGTAAATAAGCATGGTTCTAGATCAGAGTTCTCCAATCCCATGCTCAAAGCTACTCCGGTAAACCTCATGTTCCACCATTTAGGACTAATCCGTAGCCCATAAAGGGCACGTTCAAGTTTGCAAACTTGGTTTCTCTTAACTTCATCGGTATGTGGGGTTCCATCTGGAATCTCCATGAAAATCTCCTCATCTAACACTATTCAGAAAGGCTGTTTTTACATCCAACTGACACATCTCTAAGTCATACTTATTTATAATAACTATGACTGCTCTGACTAGAAGTAATCTCGAGATTGGAACATAAGTCTCCCAGAGCTCATAGACATTTTTGTACCTAACCTTTCCATCTGCCTCGAGTTTTTGCTTGAATACCCATTTAGAATCAATGATATTCAATCTCTGTCCATTACTTATTTTGATTGGCCTTCTAAGTAACTTCCGGACCTTATTTTTCTCCATTGAATTTAACTCTTCATTTATGGCGTTTTGCCATGACTCTCTATCTACACTTTGCATTGCCTCGTTATCATTTATTGAATCAGAGGTGATAATCGACAACAGTGCATGAATAACTTCATCGTTTGATTTCCCTCCATCTAACTCAATTTCCCTATCAAGAGAACAAGTAAGGAGAACACTAGCTTTCCAACTTTCATCTATATGTAGATCGGAAAAACTAGAATTTTTTTTTTAATCGTTATTTTACATCGCTTCGACCCGGTTAGGGTATACTGGGATGATGATCAAGACTTTAAGTAGTTAGATCGCACCGATCTATCCGGCCGGAATTTGAACTCGGAACCTTTCGCATATGAGGCAACGAACTTACCCACTGCGCCAAGCCACCGGGCTAACTAGAATCTTTGTTCTTCTGTTCAGTTCGCTCTTCACACTGTCACCTTTAGAATAATTAATTATCGGAGTCCCTTTCTTGGGTCTACCTTTCTTTCTCTTAATCTCTCCCTCCGATTTTGACAAGTTTTGGTTCTCATTCTTATTCTCGTCAAACTGAACAAACCATTTTCTCCTATCAACTTCTTCATCTACCTGTGGAAAATCTTTGATCTCATTTTTTTGATACTTTTCTCCATAAACTATCTTTTCATCAAACCTCACGTGTCTGCTTTCATACTATTTACCTTCTTCAGGTTTCAACAATAAATATCCCGAAGGAGTGTAACCAACAAGAATTGTGCGTGTTCCCACTGCACGAAACTTTGGACCTGTCTTTCTCTGTATTTTAATGAAAGCCATACAGGTAAACCGCTTTATTTGGCTGATGTCGAAGCTATGATTTGGTGCGAATTTCTCTAATGGGGTTATCATATCGTTCGACTTGTGAGGGGTACGGTTATACACTGTAATGTGGTATTTCGTTTTTTTCCTCGACCGTTCAGCAGTTATGGATTTCCAGACGGGAAGTCACTTTATTGGGGAGGCGAGAGTCGAAATTAATTTTTGTTGGAACTTTTTATGGATTTATTTCGTTTTGTATCGCTTTTAATTCCATCACCGTTCACCGGACTACATCGTGGGATGGAGCCGGATCAACGTGGGAGTTTGCTAGTCTTTCTAATCGGGTCCCCGAAGTCCAGAGGAGTTTTGGATCCTCGGACTGATCTTTCGATGGTCCCGCGCAGAAGCTAGCCTCGCTCGAGGGATGAGTGGCGGCGCCAGCTCACCGAGGCTGTAAATGGAGGGCTCAGCTGACGATCTAGAAAATATCGGAGGATGCCTGGACCAGCGTTGGACGTCCAAGACAAAATGCATCCAACGATGAAATAATTATTTATAAGTCTAATAAATTATTGGGGAGGTTTTAACTCCCGATTGAAGATTGTCTCATATTTCGAGTGGACATGATTTGACTTTGTTGACTATAGCTTTGGTTGGGTCCGATTTTGGGGATCAGCCAAAGCCAAGTTGTCACATTCAGCCAATGGGAGCCTCGGACGCCTGTTAGAGCGTTGTCGCGTGGGTTAATCGGGCGAGGAACAGACACTTCTCGTCTGGACATCGTAGTGGCCGCTGTACCAAGTTTGTCAGTTATCTCAAAGTTAATTAAATCTCTAAGAGCAAATTATTTCGGGACCCGAGAGTCGTCAGAGGACTGCTTTGCCGCTCCTGCGGATCTTTTGAGAGTTGCTGATTGACGATTATTCTTCTTATCGGTGAGCGGTGGTTCTATAAAATGAACAGTGTTAATTTGCGTGTCTCACGAGGTGTGAAATAGCCTTTTGTTTAACGGACGCTTGGTCCGTGGCGTTGATGCCATTAGAGTTTCCCATGATTTTTTTGGCTGGGCTTCACTTCTCGTTCGACAGAGGAATATATTTCTCAGGGTCCAAATCAATTTTTCTTTACTCTCGGATATCGCTCATTTATTATCGATTTAGTTAATTAACCTTGATTGAATTCGGTGATTTTTGACTGCATTGTTGTAATTTATTCAACTTTCGTTTCGCCATCGCCGTGGATTATTATCGATTATCCGGCGGTTTGGAATCTCGAGGTCATTTGTGTTATTTCCTCGAGATTATTATTTTTGTCTCTCGGTCAAGGTTTGGCCGATTTAATATCGCTCTTACCTTCGACCTAGATAATAATTCATTTGGAAATTCAACGTGGATATTGAAAGTGGGATTGTAGCGCATTTTCGGCGCTCGAGTTTTAGTTCCAGCCCGCTGATCTTTTATCAGTTGCTGGTTCCGTTGTTATTATTCTCTCGAGGCAGTTCCCCTCAAACCCACGTGGAGTTGGTTCCCCCGGTCGCCCCTTCGGTGGACGCGCTGAGCGCTCGGGGTAATAATAGTTCCCTACCCTGCGAATATTTGACTTCTAGTAAATTAAATGATTATTTTATGTCCTGACTATCTTTTGACTTTTTCTGACCGTAACTATGGATCTTGGTGAGAAGAAGAGTTTATTTATAAGAATTTTGATTTCGCTGAAAAAAAGAAAAATGTTATGTGATGCGATTTTTACAGAGAATCTATGAATGAATGAATCATTCATGAATGCCATGAATGTCATCAAAGTCTTTGTAAAAAGTGTCCAGGTGTCAACCCTTTGAAACAAAGGCTAGTTTCAATCATGAACGATAATGATATAGAAGAAGTGAAATACAAACTCTGGGTACAGACTCCTCGAGCAAAACTAGAAGAATCCCTCATAGAGTCGACTGAATTTGTGGATGAGTTCTGTGCAAAGCTGAAAATCCTATTGCCTCATGCATTTTTGACTAAGAAACAATCAAATTTCCTGAACAATCTGAGGGAATCTCTAGATAAGAATGAATTTCTTATTATTTGTGATTTTGCCGAGAATTACTCTTTTCTGATGCAAAATGCAATAGGAGGATTCCATTGGAATAACGACTCAGCCTCATTGTATACTGTGGTTATTTACTACAAGTCAAATGATGTTGTCAAGCATAGAAGTTTAGTAATGGTATCGGATTGTATGATGCACGATGCGATTGCAGTACATGTTTACATTCGAATTATTAATGAATTTGTGAGAACCATTTCTGATAAGCCCAGTAAGTTCTACTACTACTCCGATGGCGCTCCGTCGCAATATAAGAACTTCAAATACATCACCAATCTCTACTACGACTTGAAAGATTACGGAGTACCCGTTGAGCACCATTATTTTGAGACTTCGTACGCGAAAAGCGCGTGTGATGGACTAGGCGGAACCGTTAAAAGTACGGTTGCCCGAGCAAGTCTTCAAATGCAAGCAGAGCAGCAAATCACGACCCCGGAACAAATCGCTGATTGGTGCCAAGCATCAGGACGTTTACCTAATATCACAGTAAAATACTCTCCCAAGAACGAATATGAAGATGCTAAGATTTTACTCCAGGATCGCTTGGGCAATATCAAGACCATACCTGGGACAAAAAAATTTCGATGTATCACCCCACAAAGTGACGGTATTATTCATACTAAAACTTTCTCGGATGCAAAGGTTTTTGAAGTTTTCAGGATTGACAAGTCCACGAATGGTACAAATTCGAAGCGGAAAAGGAATAAGAGGCAATATATTCGTAATCTTCATACTATCGACTTCATTGTTGACGAAAAAATAAATTTTTTCACAATTTCATTGTAAAATTCAGGTTTCAAACCCGATTAACCACTCGCGCCGGCTTAAAATCATTGTTATAGATACTAAAATATACTCGAATTTAAAAAAAAAATGGCATACTGAATGAATTATCAATTTTTTACTTTCTACAAGGCAATATCTTCTGCAGCTGCGGTAATTGCAGGTGCAACAGTAGCTTCCGCAGCTGCCATGGTGGTAGATGCAACAATAGCTTCCGTAGTTGCGGTAATTGCAGGTGCAACAGTATCTTCCAGAGCTACAGTGGTGGTAGGTGCTGCAGTAGGTTCAGGTGCTGCGGTAATTGCAGGTGGAGCAGTAGCATTCGGAGCTGCAGTGGTAGTAGGTGCTGCAGTAGGTGCCGGTGCTGCGGTAATTGCAGATGCAGCAGAAGCTTCCGGACCTGCAGTGGTGGTAGGTGCTGCAGTAGGTTCTGCGGTAATTGCAGGTGCAGCAGTAGCATCCGCAGCTGTAGTGGTGGTAGGTGCTGCAGTAGGTTCAAGTGCTGCGGTAATTGCAGGTGCAGCAGTAGCTTCCGGAGCTGCCATGGTGGTAGATGCAACAGTAGCTTGCGGAGCTGCGGTGGTGCTAGGTGCTGCAGTAGGTTCTGATGCTATGGTAATGGCAGGTGCAGCAGTACCTTCCGGAGCTACGGTGGTGGTAGGTGCAGTAGGTTCCGGTGCTGCGGTAATTGCAGGTGCAGCAGTAGCATCCGGAGCTGCCATGGTAGTAGATGCAACAATATCTTCCGGAGCTGCGGTAATTGCAGGTGCAACAGTAGCTTCCGCAGCTGCCATGGTGGTAGATGCAACAATAGCTTCCGTAGTTGCG